TCACAGCTGGCTCCGCCCAGTTGTAATGACAGATCAGCGTCCCCAAATGACCTGGGGATGCTGATCTGTTATTAAACAATAGCAAGTTGGTGGAGCCGGCCGTGACGTCACAGCCGGCTCCGCCTGGTTGTTATTCATTGGCCTGTTATTCCAGCAGGTGTCAGCCAATAAGAAACGTTTGCCGCTAGCTACGCCCAATTGTTTTGGGTTTTTTTTCTTTAAAATATCTTTATTTTTTTTTTTTATTTGACTATTTGTTTACATGCTTTACATATTTTTCCAACTATTTTTTCTTCCTTTCTTTTCACTTATTTCTATTCTGCTCGGTACCACAGAGGTACTAAGCAGAATAGCCGAGCCAAATGCCGCACGGCGGCATTCGGCCATACACTCACTGCCATTTGGCCCCTATCAGAATAGGGGTGAATGGCAGCGAGTGAGCTGCCGGAGCTTCGGCTCAGCTGATCCAGATGTTGGATCGGCTGAATCTAAGTCTTTCTGCACTTCGGCTCAGCTGAACATTCAGAGCTGTCCTGTGTCTTGTGCACATTTCCTCATGGTTATCTCAAGGAGTCTAATTAGCCCTCCCCTTCTTGAACTATAGAATGATTAGTCCCTCTTTTGTGGCGATAATGTTAGGAGAAGGGATCCAATCATTTAGCTGCTAAGCTACTAGGCAGGACTTACACCATTCAGTCCACACACATCTTTACAAGTTTATCAAAGGACAACTGGGCAGGACTGACACCATTCAGTCCACCAATGCTGCATGTTGTCAGTCCACAAGAGGAAAATTAGAAATTGGTGCATTTTTAGCAGATCAACATGCATTTTGTGTACTAGTAGGACCTTCAACGTTATGTAACATGGAAATGTTTTTGTATTGTAGAGATATACTGCATTTTTGTTTTGCCCTCACATACACTTTAAAGGAGAACTATGAGGTTCAGCGCTGACTGGCGGATCGGACGGGGGAGGGGGCGGGTACAGCTGGCTCTGCCTCTAGATAGGCAGAGCCAGCTGTCACTCACGCAGCTGGGCTGAGCCCGGCACAATTGTCGGGATCTGCTTCAGCTGCACCGTCTCAGTATACCGCGAGCAGCAGCTCGCGGTATACTGCAGCGTCTCAGTATACCGCGAGCTGCACCTCACGGTATACTGAACCTAGGGTGACGGGAGGATGCTAGTTTGTGTCCTCCCATTACCCCAAGGAGAACTATGGGGAAAAGCCTTAACTCCCATAGTTCTCCTTTAAGTATGCATCACTACATTTGCACAACTAAATGCAGTCACGCCTGTGGCAGACAACATGCACCAAAAGCATATGCTCTGTAGAATAACAGATGGTATCCAGCTGGAATAATAGAACAATTTAAAACGATCTTCTACAGTTGTAAGACCAAAACTACTTCAAACATCATATGAAAGAGACATATTATAAAGTCAATCCACTCTACAGTATGCACAAGATGCATTCCTATCTGTAGAAATGAAAGCAGCTCATTTGAAATATTGATCCATAATTAGAGACATTCCATATGAATTTTATGCATAGTTTGCGATCCAAGCTTTGGGACGTTAGTAAACAAACTCTGTGTTCTCCTTCATAGTATAGAAATGTCCTGCCACTAAAGGTCGGTTACCATGAGTGCAGATCATCGAGGACCGTCACCAAGAGATGACTGAGGGCCTCGGTGTCTTGCACTGACGTGAGATATGGAATAGGGGATTGTCATAGCAACTTTCCTGAACAAATATTGGACAATCTGCTTGGATTCTGTTTACCTGTCACAGGAAGTATGAGAGGTTCAGCTGGATGTGCTCTGTTAAGATAAATAAAAGTTTTGGCCTTAAACCTGAACATAGGCATCTGTGTATCTTTGATTTAAACAAAAACTGACTTTGCAAGCTGAATGTGTGAGGGGGCGATGTACTTGTGTTTATGTTTGCCTGCTTTTTATCTCTAGTGCCTCTTTAATTAGGTTTAAAGAATTTTCTGATATAATCAAAATAATGTATACATGAGTTGTTGGTTTATTGACCACAAGGACACAATACTTGAAAGCACATGGACCTCATCTCAAGCACAGAAAGTAGTGGTGAAAAAAAAGATGAAGATAACAGAAGGTTAAACTCTCATATATGTTACTGGAATTCAACTGTCATGAGCATTAAAAGTACCGTCTGGGACTACGGACATTCAGATACCAGTGCCAATACTTGGCATTTTCACGAGAACTACCAGGGTTGCAGCAGTTACAGCTGGGACCTGGCTCTGGCGCTCCACCACTGTCCTGAAATTATTAGTCTGTATTGTTTTAGAGAAACTGTCACATGACAATAAACACAAATGTCTCAGTATCTGTGAGTATTTGGACAAGTATCAGTGCATCCCCTATATATATTTATAAAAATAAATAAATCCTACATTAAACAGGGATGCACAAATCCCAGGAGCTCCGCATGCTCCTTACAAATCACAGCTGCCTCCTAACTTTGGAGTTTTTCTCTAGTCTAGTCTTGGAGCTGGAAAAGTATCTGTACATTTATTTATTTATGTACGTATTTTGCAGTCTCTGTTCTTATAGGCGGGACAGAAAGTGATTGGAAGTCTCTGCAGTGACTGAAACAAACACCTTTATTCAGTATAATGGGATCCTTTGCAAAACAGTGCCGGTTGACATACATTAATACCTGGTTAATAAATTGTTAAAGTGGAACTAAACCAGAGCTGTGGTGTCTGCAGGCTCCCTTGCTACCACCAGTATCTTTGTTGGGTCTTCCTGGTTTAGCATCTTCGATCATTTTTATTGGCCCATCTGGGATGTAACTCCCTTGCATGCACGTAATTTCATTCTGGGACCAAGGAATGCCGAGATTGTACACAGAGCTGGTCATGCGGGGCACAGTGTACAATCTTTCGGAACTTGCAAGCAGCCAGGTTAAATGCTTTTATTTTAGAAAAGACACACAGAGTATCTTCTGCAATAAAAGCCTTTCTGATAACAAATGTATTTTTCTATGCTAAAGTTGGATGTTAACTCTCTCCCATGTTTTCGTTGTCTGTGCTCCTATCAGCCCTGTCTACATTTGCAACTCAGAAAAAGAAGAGGTGGGGGATCTTTTGCTGAGCAGTCTATATAACTGTATCTGTGGGGAAAGTTGGAAAGTCAGTTTTAGCAGTCCGACTGTGTAGGAACAGAATGGAACTGGCTTCCTGCCTCCTCTAGATTGAGTTGCTTTTGTGATCTTTGTTCCTGTGTCATGGTATGCAGGCCAGGATTTATATTACAGCTCCATTGAGAAAGGAGCTTGCAGTCAAGACAGTATTAGATAACGTACCCAGTTTCTTTTTAATAGTATCAAGGTTGGTCTTGGCAGTGGCAGATATAGTCAGCAACTTTGTGTAAGGAAATTTTTGTGGACTCCCCGTTCAATTAAAGGAGAACTATGGGGTTAAGTCTTTTCCCCATAGTTCTCCTTAGGGTAACGGGAAGACACAAACTAGCGTCCTCCCGTCACCCTAGGGTCAGTATACTGCGAGCTGTAGCTGCTCGCGGTATACTGAGACGCCGCAGCTGAAGCGGATCCCGACAATTGTGCCGGGATCCGCCAAGCTGCGTGACTGACAGCTGGCTCTGCCTATCTAGAGGCAGAGCCAGCTGTGCCCGCCGCCTCCCCCGTCCGATCCGCCAGTCAGCGCTGGCGGATCGGAGCGGGGAAGGGGGAATCCAGCCCCTCCCCTGTCATGGCAGAGAGCCGTGACAGGATCGAGAGGTGAGCGAACGCCGGTATGTGTTCCCTCACCTCCCGATCTACTGAGCCGACCTGTGACAGTCTCATTGTCACAGGTCGGCTAGAACTATGAGGTGAGTGAAAATCCCTCACCTCATAGTTCTCCTTTAAGGATTAAGGTTAGGCATCATAAAACAGACCTCCCTTCTCACACTTGCCTTAGAAGTCTTCATGGTCGACATGACCACATGTGTGTGTGTGTGTGTGTGTGTGCGTGTGTGTGTGTGTGTGAGGGGGGTTACAGAATATGCCCAACCCTCATCTTGTGTAAATGGGTGCCTAAATCCTAGAGAGCCATTGTGCAGGTGTACAGTCTGCAAAAGTGGTGCATCTGGCCATGGATCCTGACAAATAGCAGTCTTCCAAGAACAGGAACTGGTCCATGGGAGCAATGCAATTGAAAAATTAATATTTCCTCAATACAAGCAAACCATGAAGTATGAGTTCATTTTAGCATTAAGCTAACACTTGTTTTACTGCTTGGATGGATTCAGTTATTCAAATCTGCACCTCTGGGGAGAGCTCAGAGGGAGTCAGCAATGCCCACCAAGAGGCCTTTTTTTGACACCTGTGTGTATTGGTCCTCACAAAGATCAAAGGCAGCTATATAGTCGATTTCCACTGTTATGTTTTTAACGGTAACATTGAAGGCAATAGTGCATACTTTCCAAAATGCAGGCTAACCAGAATGGTTGACATGGACCTTTACTTCAGACACAAAGGGAAAATGATAAAACCTTGTCAAACTTTAATTTTATTGCACATTTACTTTGTATGAGGGGTTCTTGCAGTTTTTTAAATTTGGATAATAGAGATCTGAGCAGAGTTTCATATTCTGACTAAATCATTGGTTAATGTGAATCTGTTATCCAAAATGTAAAAAAGCCGGCATGTGTAAAGTACAGGAACCAAGAGGTGCTTTTGCATACCTGCAACAACTACTTAAACGTTCTTGTCAGAGCTGAATGCATGGCCCCTTTGAAAGACAACAATCTGCCATTTTCTGACAGTGCCAAAGCTTGCTAGCCCCTTTCTGACTCATGCACATTTCTATTGGCCAGTAAGGCTGCTCATCATAGTGATGGTGGCAAGCACGGACACTTCCCAGAGTCTCTTTAAGAAGTTTATGAAAAAGTAAACACATGTTGAAATAAATGTAATTGATAAATGAATTATTCTAACTATGCATCTATTGTCATGTTTAGCGCTCCCTCCAGTTCTTGGAATTCTCTTTTTGGGAAGCCAGAAATACCAGAAGCCGATTGTCCACTCTGAGAAACAAATTCCGAGCTTCTAAATCTTTCTACATTAACCGCTCACTGGAAAAGAGGGAGGTAAGAAAGCATTTCAATACTTGCAGATAAACTAGTCATCCATCCATTGATCTATCATTTCTCCAGGTCACTGATTCCCTGCACACCCATAAAGCAAAATGCAAGAGAAAAGATCGCACACACACAGAAAATTAAGCTTCTGATTTCCTGCAAATACAGGAAGCGAGTTGTAGAAGCATCTGCAGACACAGAAAGTGAGCTGTAGGAGAGTCTGCACGTACAGGAAGTGAGATGTAGGAGAGTCTGCACATACAGGAAGTGAGATGTAGGAGAGTCTGCACACACAGGAAGTAGTGTTGCCACCCGTACGGGAATGACCCTGACAGTCCGGGTTTGGAATCCTGTGCCCGGGTACAAGCCTTTTTCAGACCCGGGCACAGGATTCAAACCGCAGACTTGCTCAACTGACAGCTGTCTGTGAGCGGCGGTGGACGGCGGGCTGTGAGCGGCGGCGGCCGGCGATGAGGTGTCAGCGGCGGCGGTTGATGAGGTGTCAGAAGCGGCCGATCAGCTGTCAGTGAGGCTGCCGCCGGGCGGCGCTGTCTTCGAACACTACCTCCCTCTTTCTGGTGTTCTCTGCTAGTGAGAGGAAGTGACATCAGAGAGGGAGCGAGGGAGAAATCATTCTCCGGTAGCCTGCGCGTGGACTGGACTCTGGATTGGCTTCTTCTTCTTCAGTCTCAGAAATGGGCTTGTCGTTTGAATGACAACTATCAATAAAATGGATTTGCACTATAGATGTACCGATACTAATGTCGGTGCAGATACTGGGTATTTGGGCGGGTACTTGTACTCGTCCAAATGTTCCGCTACCTTCCCCAATACCGGAACTTCCGGTCAGAGGGAGATTTCCCTTTGACCGGTGGTGCCAAGACAGCATACAGCCGACTTCCTTTCCAATCAGGAAGCCGGGTGGTGGGTTATGGCCCGCCTCCTGGCTTCCTGGTTGGCTAGGAAGCCTGTTTCACTTGTTGCTAGGCAGCCTGGCTTCCTAACCAATCAGGAAGCCGGGCGGTATGTCATGACTCGCGTCCCGGCCTCCTGCTCGGTCAGGAAGCCACGCTGCCTAGAAATAAGTGAAGCCGGCTTCCTAGCCAATCAGGATGCTGTGAGGTGGGTCGTGACGTGCCGCCCGGCTTCCTGATTGGCAAGGAAGCCAGCTTCACTTGAACACCAGGTTCACAGGAAATCAGGAAGCCAGGCTACGCGTCATGATCCGCCGCCCGCCTTCCTGATAATTGGGGCACAAGGCACCAGTATCGGTACTTGGTATCGGCGAGCACCAAAAAAAAAAATACCTGTACTCGTACTCTACACCAAAAAATGGTATTGGTTAGGGATGCACCGATATATCGGCCACCGAAACATATCGGCCGAAAATTGCACTTTTGGCTAAATGCCGAAAGTGCAATTTTTCTGCCGATACAGCGGCACATCTGTGCTTTCTTTCCCCCCATCGCTGGGCGCTGCTCTGTCCCAGCGGGGGGTGGGCGGGGGTTGAGAAAGTGTGACAGCCGTCCGAGCGCTGCGGGAGGAGAGCGCTGTGAGCTTCCGGCGTCTCTCCTCACACCGCTCAGCCTCCGGTCACAGATCGGCAGAGCGGTGTGTGGGCGGAGACAGGCCGCGTTGCCACAGGAGGCTGAGCTCTCCTCCATACAGTGCTCGTTCAGCCTCCTGTGACAGAGGAGAACGGGTACAAGCAGTCAGTGATCGCTGAGTGTTTGTACATAATTGAGGACAGAGTATGATTACTATACACTCAATTATAAATGAATGGGAAGTGATCTACATCACCTCCTGTTCATTCATAGATGCAGTTATATTAAACATACCATGTCCTCATGTTATCAATGAACAGAAACACTCCTAGAGGATTCCTGTTCATTGATAACTGGGGATACAGAATAAGAGATTTAGGACTCTGTGTTCTCTGAGGACTTTCTGTTCTCAATCTCTTTTTCTATTTTAAAAGGCAAATATCAGAGGTCTGTTTAGACCCCCCATCTGTATTAGAGTTCTGTTGTGAGCGGCGCCATCCGCAGTCATTACGAGCAACGGTTACTTTTGGGATATCGGGTAATGAGTGCGGCAAAGTATATGGATATTGCTTTATATAGTATATATCTGGGGACCTGTGGCACACTGGCATCTTAGGGGGGCATTGTTTATGTACAGATTGCATATCTGGGGACCAAATATACCAAAATGGAATAAAGGCGCCACCATTCACACCCTTCGTGATCTACCAGCATCAGCTTTGAGAGCTACTGGTAGATCACAATCTACCTAATGGGCACCCCTGCTTTAGTACATCCAGCCAATTATTAGCATACTTGTCAGATGGAGGTGGAGCTTGAAGCCTTTTTTCACATGTTTTCCAGTTTCCACATCCTGCTGGAAAAAAAAAGCTAATTGTTTTACCCAACTCAATACCTCAAGCTGAAATTACACACACAAGTAAATGAGTCAGACACAGTGACTGCCTTATCAGATGGCTTGGTCTTGGGTTTCATTGAGGGCCAGCCTGAGGGAAAAGAGATGACTAGTGCCATGCTGTTTGGGAATCCTTTCTTATGGATCGAATGCTTATTTGTAATACAAAGATTAAATACATATAGTGAAAAACTTAAATCAGTTTAAAAAACATAAATTAGTCTGGCTGCTATGCTAATACAAAGTCAAGAGCCGAAACAAGAATGCAGATTAGACGTTCTGATGTTCTGTTTTGACTTCACTAGCTACAAGCTTGTTCTGGGTTCAGTGACTCAAAAGTACTGAGACCAGAGATAGTCCCGCTCCTTTACAGAATGCAAGGAGCAGGAAATGCTGAGCCATTGAAAACAATGCAATCTCGGAAAGACTGACACCTTTTCTTAACCGATGAGCAATGCCATTGTAGTAGCTAATCTACCTGCATTGTATGGGTTATGCACAAATTGACACATTTAAGGCAATAAATGATATATAAAAAAAAGTAAAAATGTGAAAGTCACATAAAAATGGTTTTGAAGTAAACAGTGGTAATAATACAAAATATGTTCTGATTGAGAATAAACTATATTTTCCCTATAGGTTTAGTGGCTTCTAGAGTAGGAAACGGACCGATAATCTATGTACAGTAATACCTTGGTTTACGAGCATAATTCGTTCCGGAAGCATGCTTGTAATCCAAAGCGCTTGTATATCAAAGCCAATTTCCCCATAGGAAATAATGGAAATTCAGATGATTCGTTCCACAACCCAAAAATATTCATATAAAAATGATTACAATACAGTACTGTAATATAATACTGTACAAAATATAAAGAAAAATAAACCGATTACCGGTACCTTCGTGGCTGGTGTGAAGGGGACAGGAGAGAGGAGGATTATTGTGTAGGACGTCTTTCACTATCACTAACGAAATCAGTGCTATCTCTTGGCTCAATGGAATCTTTCTCATTTCGTGAAACCTTAACAAGGAATCTATTTAATGTGACATTGCATTGTCGTTTTAACAGACTCATCGCTCGCACTGCTACAGCCTTATTCGGGTGGCGCTTTTCTACAGAATTTTGCTCTTATTGCAAGGCAACATTTTTCAGAAATGTTTGCTTGTCTTGCAAAACGCTCTCAAACAAGTTACTTGTAAACCAAGGTATTACTGTAGTTGCTATGAAATAGTGTAAACCACACATATTGCAGGGGGTGGTGAGCACAGCATCATGGCTTGATGTATTATGTGTTTTACCAAACTGTTTGTTCTTTCTAAAAGGAAGTTGGACTTGTAAATCACGTTGAAGACATGTGTCAAGCTGTCATGGCCTGAAAATATTTTTTCAGTTGGCTTGTTAGGTTAACTTCAGTCAAAAGTGAAAAAGTAAAACAAAAATAGACAGTTTTTTGACATTTGGTTTCCTGTGCACATAACAAATGCATGAAAGGTTTAGAGTAAGTTTCCTTTGGTTCTAAGCAGACTTGCAAAAAACATAGCTGAACTCCAGACACTTACAAGACACAACTTAATTTCAGCTCCATATCCATTTAATAATTATGAAATGTATTCATGTTTTAATAAACTTGTGCAAGCGCCTGAATTTGGCCTGGTATTTGCCTTTTGCAATCCCCTATAAAGCAGCACTAAAGGCTGGATAAAAGAGGACAGGACTGGAAACATCTGACAATCTGATGTGCGCATGCGTTAGTGTTGATAAGGAACATGCTGATAGGAGGAGCAAGCAGAGTCCCTGATTAGTCCACTGCTGCTCCTTCACTGTCCAGACAACAAGCGGGAGGTGCAGATAGGCCACCGATATATCCTTGAACTGTATGTGGTGTCATCTACCTGGCTGTGTATATCTTAGGACTGGACAAAAGAAGATACAAACATTTTATCAGTGTATTTAGTTGATTGCCAGCAGTTCAAATCTGTACATACACTTTATATTGATCTCTAACAACCAATGAAAAGTCATACACCACTATTTAAGTGTATTTTTGCTTTTCCAGTCAAAATTGAGAAAACCCTCCTTTAATCACTGATAACACTAAACTGATGAACAGTAAAAGCGTTTTTTTCCAAAATATCTCTTTATTAGTTTTCCAAGTTTCACATATCACATAAGTACAGATGCCAAAAAAAAAACCAAAACAATACATATCCATATAATTAACAAAATACAAACATTATATAATATCGCAGTCATTCCATTCCTCTACCTTCATAGTTCCGCCTAACCAGAAACAACATATAACAATAATACAATAAAAACTTTCTTCCAGACCCAAGAGTACAGATAACAAAAAACAATGCATATCCCTCTGACTAAGAGAATATATATATTGTGTACTAACGCAGTCCTTCCATTCCTCTACCTACATACTTCCATCTAACAAGTGACAACATATAACACTTAAGCAATATAAACTTTCTACCACATTAATTGGGTCTTTTTACAGTGGTACTGATTTTGCTGGGCTTAAAGGAGAATTATGGGGTGAGTGAAAAACACTGATTCCCC